TCCGGGATTATAAGACGAACACGTATACTATCATATGTATAATGTTATAAAAATTGTTTAGAGGATGTGAAATAAAGTAATTTTGCAATAAAACCATTGAGATTTATTGTTTAATTGATACGTGTGTCAATTAAAATTTGAAATTAATTGTTTGTTAAAGTATGAGTAAGTTAAACCAGAATTTATTGTTTGTTCGAAAAATATTTTAGTGAAGTGCAAACCAATTGATAATTGAATTAAGTTTTTAATTTTCAATGAAAATGGCTCCAATGAGGAATGTTTATTTGTTGATTTGAATATCCATTAGTTAATAACTAAAATTATTAGTTAAGTATTTAAGCTAGTTTGTGTTAATTCCTAATTTCCAATCAAACAGTAATTAAATCGATAATTGGATACCTTGTTAAGGGCTTTATGCGTATGCAATAATTAATGTACGTTTGAATATACATGTTTTTTTTGAAAGATCACGTCAAATATAAAATATCAACCATTTAAATTGTTTAATACTGATTTTTTTTTTTTTTTTATTAAAAAAAGATAAATGTGAATTGGTGCTGTATGTGTTTCAAACGTTCATGTTATGTTACAGAATGTCAATGTTGTGTGCATGTAGTACAAAAGCAAGCAAGGATCGTGCGACACCGGATTCAATGAAACATCATACTTATTAAGATCCAAAGCAGCCCAAAGAAGCCAAAAGGCAGACCAAGACGCCGCTCAACCTCCGAGCGGGGAACAAACATTGTCACGAACCTTTGTGATTGCGGGATCGCTGCTGCACGTGGAAGGCAGCTGAATTTCTCGTGCCTGGCAGTAAGTCACCCGCCCAATTGCTCATCCCGTCCTGTTGCGGCTGCTGTGTCTGATGCGGATGCCGCTGATGCGTGGGGTGGAGAAATGGCGGCGGGGGCATCATGTGCGGCGGGTGATGATGGTGTAACGGGGGCGGTGGCAGAGGAACGTCACCAGCGAATGGGGGTAGCGGCGGGGGTGAGCGCAGCGTGTGGTGTGGATGCGGAAAACCATGGTGGAGCAGCGGGGGAGGCGATATCCGGGATGGCGAACCGGGTCGGCCTGAGGGCGGGGGAGAGGAGAGCCGTCCGCCTCCGAGGGGCGCCGGTCGCGAGCCTACGCTGGATTCAATGCCACCACTGCCTCCCGAAGGAAAAGGAGGTGGTAAAAAATGTGGTGGCGGTGGCAGTGGCATTCCGCCGTACATGTAGGACGGCGGGGGTATCGGCCCACCGGCAAACATCAGAGGTGAGGCCGAATTCTCGCCGGGGCCACCTTGAAACAGCGGATGCACGACGCCTAATGCGTCGCCGTTTGCGGTCGCCAGATGCTGCAGGCCTGTTGGGAAAGCAAAGGGATACGAGCGTACAGTAAGCGGGAGCGCGTAATGTTTTACTTTCAAAAATTATTGGTTCTAGCTCATCTAAGATAAACTAGCTGTAAATCTGTTATAATTCCATCTATATTGGTAAATGTTATAGTTTTAAGAGTTTCAGACTGTTGGTTTTAGCATTTTAGTTCTGTTGAAGAATGTTTAAGTTATATTTTAGGTATAATATAATTGAGTGTAGTATTTCCATAAAAAATTATACAATATTGAGTTAATAATAAATTTGAATGAAATTTGTCGGTGTAAATACTTACGATGCAGTTTGTTTTCAGGATCGGTATCGTTTAAATTTTTTTCGACGAGTGTAAGTCGGTTGCGTAACTGACTCGATTCAGCCTTGACTTCTTCCAAGCGCCTTTCATGTTGTCTCGCGGCCACCTAATTACAAAATTAAAAATTACTAAAATACAATTTAAAACGGCAACAACTTAATTTCATTCTTTACAAACCCAATGCTCGTGTGCTTTTGTTTCAAGAACAGCTATCTGATTTTTGTACTCCCTCTCTTGATCTAGGATCTCATGTTTCAACATTTCCACTTGTTGTCTGTAGACGAAATTACAATATAAGAAAAAAGCATGAATTACAATGTGTAACTAAAGATCCTTACTTGTAATTAAGTAATTCGTTTTGCATTGTCTGTATCCTTTCTACTGTAGACGAATGCTCACCCTGCTTTTCTAGCCAAAGTGCTTCTTCCCTGAAAATAATTGCTTATAAAATTGTACATAACTTTGATACAAAAGTACAGAAACAGAAAGCAATACTTTTGCCGCTGAGCTTCTTTTTCTTCAAAGAACTTAGTCAACACCTCGAGCCGCGTCTCTGCATCTTTTTTCTCTTTTTCTGCTGCTTTGCACTGTTCACTCAGAACTGCAACTTCCTCTCTTACAAGTTTGACGTGTTCTAAAAAGTTTAAATTTATATGTATGTATTAAGGTTTACTCATATTTATGTTATTTTACATTAAAAAAAAAAAAAAAAAAAAAAAAAAAAAAAAACAAACAAACAAACAAACAAACCTTCAAGTAATTGATGTGCACCTTCCTCCTCACTTAGTTTAATCTTTAGTTCATCTCTCTCATCTTGCAGATGAGCAGCCTCAGCTTTAATGTGGGAGACTTCATACAACTTTTCGAAATCCAAATTATTTAAGTTACACTGCTCTACTACTCCAAAAAGCTCTTTGACCTCTAGTTCCTTCATTTTTAATTGTTTACATAAGTGAGACTTATCATCAGTCAACTATTTTCATGAAAAAGAAAAAAATTTATTAACGCAAATAATTTTATTTCATTTCCATTAATTCTGCTATTTTGAAAATACTTACGTATTTGACTTGAGCTTTAAGCTGTTGCAACTGATCCACCAAAGATTGCTCCAAGCCCATCTTTGAATTTGTTTCTTCATAAAGTTCTTCTGATAACTTGGCAATTTCAAATTTCTGCTGCTCAATAGTTTTTAAACTGATTTGAAGATCTCCTGTTAAGGTTTCATTCTGAAAAATAAATATAATAAATGTAAATGAATTACATTTTCCTTTGGATTGTTAACATTCATATTCATACACAACAAGATCAAACCTCAAGCTTGTGAAAGTCAAGCTGCATGCCAGATAAAGAATAAAAATTATAACTCAAGACAAACTATTTATACATGAATTAAATGATACTTTACCTCCCGAGTCTTGAGAGCAAGAGAGTTCGTCAAAGTTACGTTGACGTTTTGCTGATCGTTAAGACGATCCTGCAAGTCCTGAATGGATTGAGCTAGTGGATTATCTTCGCTTTGGGTTGCAAGAATCTCACGTAGCATGCGTTCCAACTCCAAGCCGGCCTCCGAAGCGCCTTCCAGATCCTTTTCCAGTGATGCAATCTGATCTTTCAAATCTTCTTTTTCTTTCTGCAAAAAAAATAATCGAGTTTTGTTTAAAAAGGTTTTGAATTATTTTTAATTGGATGCAAAGATTTTTACTTTACTCACTTCGGAAGCTTCCAACTCGGACTTGATTGATAACACCATTTCATTAGATCCAAACGATTCGTCCTCAATAGAGTCCAACTGAAAGTACAAATGTCGTTTTGTGAAATAAGTTTAGATCAACCTTGAATTTACATTTTTTCTACTCTAAAAGTTCACTTACTTTCGTTTTTGTAGACTTGAAATTATCATCCAACATTATACATTCCTTCCTTGTTATCATCAGATCTTTTTCAAGTTTGTTTATCTTGGCTATCAGATATGCATCACGTCTTTTGTTCTGTTGGAACAATCAAACATTTTTAGTATGCCTTAGTAATTTTGATGAAAAACATATTTTGACTAATACTTACTTCGATCAGGTAATAACCAAGGGAGAATAATAGGGTTGTCACAGCCGTAATGCAGACATACAAAAGACTATCCGAACTCTCAGTAATTATTCTGTCACTAGTCACTGCATTCTGTTCAGAAGTATACTGATCCTTCATTTCCTGTGACAAAAGTGTACATTTGATGATTAAAAATTTGATCAAACTACCTTTTCTTCAAACACTTACCTCATTTGAGCACTCATCAATCTTCTCACACGTCTCTGAAGATAAAAATACTTTTTCAATATCCTTTGCTGGAGCTACTTCTTCAATGCTGGCAGTAGTATCTTCCTTAGTTTGCTGGATTTCGGTACTTGAATTTATATGATTTTTACCTAAAACTATAGACTGTTCGATCTCATCTTCGACTTCTTCTGAGCCTGAAAAAAAAATATTAAAATTGAATATTATTTTTTTTCCAAAAAAATGTAAATTCTAAGATAAAAAACAAAACCTTCAGCAGCATTCAGCAAATTTCGATCGCCTGGAAATTTGCTAAAGCTCGAAGTCGGTTGTACATCAACAATACTTTCTTGACTGGAACCTGCTGATTGAGAGCCAGAAACCATGCTCTCAACAACAGAATCATTTTGAAGGTGCGTAGGTACATGACTAGTAGCATAACTTGCAACGTTCACATTTTCGCCATCTGTTGCATTAACTTCAAGTATAGATTGAAAAACTTTGACACTACTAGTATTTTCGATTGGCGTGCTATCGTTTATGGAATGACTTGACTGAAAAGAAGGTTCTGCAACGGGCCTGAGAGGCTCACTACCCGCTAGGACCGTTTCTTCTTCAATTTCTTGCTTTAAAGGCACTTTAGAGGTAGTAACCTCAGTTTTTACTAAATTGATACTATCTAAAATAACTTCTTGCTTATCTGTTATCGAATTTGGAAACGTAGTAGCATCAGCTTCAGTAGTAACTGAATTATTAGTAACTGACACTACTTCAACTACCTTTGGCACAGTAACATCATATTCATCAGCTGGAATTTTGGCTTCCTCTTTTACAATGTTTGTCACGTAATCATCAATAGGACTCCCATTTTCTGATGGTAGGGGTGCTTCTATGCTGCTTTCACTAATTTCAGACTCGACTGACCTGACAGTTTCAGCATTGTTCTCAACTATTTCGTCTGCATGGACCACTGCGTCATGGGCTTCACTTTGCTCAGCACTCTGAACAGTTGCATCATTTTTACTTATTGTACTCTCATCTGTAGATGCATCTACCAGTAAGGTAGCATCACTAACAACATTTTCACTTACTTTTGGTTCTATTACCAGCTCTTCAACAGTAACATTTTCAAATTGGCTTTCTGGTAATACGGATTCCGGTAAATTTGACTCTTCTTCAGAAATAATACTAGATTCATCAAGATTTTCAATTGTTGGTGTTTCCTCAGTTGTCTGCTCAGATATACTACTTTCAGAGGACGCAACTTCAGCACCAACGTCATTGGAAGAATCTTTGGAACCTCTTAAAATATCTGATATTGCAGAAAAAGTGGAACTTAGGATATTTGGATAGACATTCAATTGGACTTCCTCTTCTGATTTGATATGGTCTTGCAGAGTTTGAGTTGAATAGCTTGGCTGTGATGGTGTTACTTCTTTAATATCCTGGGGGATTACAGTTCCATCATAGATGGATACATAAGAAGGAGAAATCTCCTGTGGGTCTATGGTGTCTTCACTTTTGTTATATGCATCTGTTTGCACCTGAGCTTGAACATCCACAGTATTAGTATTAGACTCTTGAGTTTCATCAACAGGTCTTTCTGCAGCTTTTAAACCGTTTTCCGTAGGCACTGTAAAGTTCAAATTTCTTTTCAAGATCCTCGTTTCTCTGATGAACTTTGAGGGAGCATATCCACGCTTATTTCTTATCTGAAATTATTGATTGCATTAAAAATGTGTTATTTTATTTTTAATTCTTGCATTAATAATAACAATAATAATGAAAACATTCTTGTTTCAATGATTTTAGTTATCGTGCTAATTTTAAATCAAGAATACAATTGTTCACTAATGAACAGTAATTGTCAATAACCTTATCATTGAAATATGACATATGGTAGCACCTATTAGAAATTTCAAGATAATTGTAGCATCAAAGGGGCTCTCAATGGAACATAAATAAAGACACTCTTTTTAAGCACCCAAATAGTTATACATTTGGGATGAAAGAAAGAAAACAAAAAAATGTTTATGAGTAACACTTTCCAATTTTGAATGATGGAACCATCCATCAGATTAAACGATAATTACCTCGACACCCCACAGATCACTCCTATTTCCAGCTTGTTTACTGAAAATCTTGACATCGGCATTCGCAGGAAAACTGAGCACATCTGGGTCCTTGGAATGATAAGGTATGGTAGTCTTGCCCAAGGACACAATCTCTGCAACCAAAAGCAGGGCAAAATTAACCAGCAGTCATTAAACAATTCATAAGCCTTACAGCCTTTTGAAAGGCTATAAAACATGTCACGCATATACAATACATGAGTACACACACAAACAGAACAAACAAGAACAGCCCTCAAAAAGAGAAGTTGAGTAGTAGGTATAGGTAATCAGTATTGTCTGGGAGGCGCATTACAAGTAGGCTAAAGTATGGCTTCAAATAATGCGTGCGTGGAACACTAACCAGCCAACTGGCACATAGGTACTTATACTTTTGCACTACCTGCACCCTCGCACAAGGACGCTGCAGGTAGAAGAAAAAAAAAGGGGAGGAAAGGGAAATCTACACTAACCAGAGCAGGTCTCGTCGTAACACTGTCTCAGGTTCGATATCTTGGAGTCACAGGGGTCGATGAACAGGCCCGCGATGAGGATGACGAGGACGAGCACCAGCCAACCGAGCCGCCTCCTCGTCCTCGTTAACCATCCCATAATCTTCGTCATGTCGGCGTCCCGTGGCTCGAAGCTGTTACTGCTGCCGTTGTTATCGCTGTCACCTGTGCTCCGCACATCACCGCTGCATCTGGACTTTAAGTGAGTTCCCCTTTTTCGCACTTGGAGCCGGTAGGCAGGCAGAAGGTCGTTGTCCCCTCCGCACACCAATAGACGTGGACTTGACTCAAATAATATTTTGCACACACAAAATTAGGGCAGGGGATGAATATGGTATTGCATAGAACTTGGGGGGAAAGGGACAATCTCTGGGGACAAGCACAAGAAGCTCACGACTAACGCGACTGTCCGTCTCTCACTCTCGTTACTCGTTACAGTCGTTACTGACACATATGTATATCAACACATAACCATCTTATTAACACATACTGCAGCTACTTGAAAGTAACTACCAAAAAGAGCGCGTGCAGCGTTGTTGTCGTCATCGATGTCATGATCACGCAGATCACGGTACTTAGGTACACCAGAGATTAGTAGATTTACATACACTACTACTTTTACTCTTTTTTTTCCATCATCCCCTTTCTCACCCCTTAGGCTTTTCACACAAAACTCGAGCAATTTATTTTACCATACGAGTGTGTAGTGTGCGCATATACATGATAACACTTGTGTCTTGGTTATCGACAACGGATGGACACTGCATCAGCATTGTAAATGCTGACATGATGGTATAACTGAATCTTCGACCGCGTGGCGGCATGCGGTTAACACTTTTCGACACTTTTCATGAATATCATCGTTTGTGAAATACCGAACGGTTTAAACGAAAAGAGAATTTGAGAGGAAATTAGAAAAACGTGGTTTCTGCTAGATGCATCCACTTTAAACCCTCCCAACGAGTCCTTGATTCGATCGCTGTTTTTCCGGTTCACTCCCGCATGTGGCGAAAAAAGTGTCTGGTTAGTATATATAGACCAAATTGTAAGCAGTCGTTCAGAGATGTGTGCACACTGGCTCATGACGTATGTCTGTAGTCACCCACGTGGACGGAATTGGTTTGAATAGTTTGCTACGTTGTAGTAGCTCACCAATCCGTACCTACAGGTAAGTGAGGTAAGTAGGACGTGGTGAATGACTTGCTGGTGCGTACATATTTTTATTTTTTTTTATTTTTACATTTCTGTTACCGGTGTCCTGCTTTATTATTTGCATTTTTCCAAACCAAATATCTTTTTTTTTTTCATTTCTTTTTACACAGAGTGAAAATTGTGAGAAATCAAGAAAAACATTCGTCCGCTGCTTTAACTTTATATGATTTTCCAACGATGATCAACTTACATATTGTAATCTGTCCATTTATTATAAAGTTTTTTTTTTTTCAGTTATAATTCGTTTAAACATCTTTTCATATATTTGCTGATTATTTTGTTTTCTCTTGAAAAATCCTTTTGTGTCCAACATATTATTTTTTTGTGTACGTCTACTGAATAAATATAATCGTAATTATTTAATATGCCTTTAATTTTGATTAGATAAGATTTTTAAGTCTTAGAATTTCATATTTTTAAATCATTTTTCTATACGTACACAAAGTAATAACATAAATAAACTAATTTTCCAAAAAAAAAAAAAAAACTGAAAGAACAATTTTACTTGAAAAAAAAAGTTTATATCATTATGCAGCATGAAATTCTTAACTTCAATTATTATTAATTTTCTCATCAATTCAAATGGAAATCCATTGTTTAGTTATGCGTCTTGACATAAAAACTCGTGTAATATCATCGCATAATTATATTTTAATACATAAGTAAATACATTAGGCTCTTAATCATCACATGTTGCGCTTATTATTCGATATTTCAAAAATCTTACTAAGTAGCGCGTTTTTAACGCGAAAACAACGATTTCCGTGAAAAAAATTATAAAGAAATAAACAGAGATGTAGAAAAAAATATCTGTTTTTTCCGTTTTCATGCCTTTCGAGAAATTGAGAAAAACTATAAAATCAAAACTTGTTCTTGAAAAAAAAATCTTTTTTTTCAACAAAACTCGACATGGGATGAGCAACAGTGGGACTGCTAATAGACGGCTCTGAAAATTAAACATTTTAACGTGTTTCTCGTAAGGACAGTGAGAGTTTTATGATAAAATACACTTATCAAGGTGTTATCGAGGTCACTCCCTTCGGTCATAAATGGTAGAAAATTCGATTTTAAAAATAGCGAATCCGATATGGCGGATCATAAGTAAAAAATCCTTTAGTTTTTCAATTTTTTAAAATTCAACTATTTTTAACGCAAAATTTTGTGTTATTTTGAAAGAAAAAATCATTTAAGTTTCTCAATCTATAAGTTATTGGGTTTAGTTATTTTTTTACTCAAAATAATGCGTCCAATCAAAAAATCACAAGGGACATATACCTATAATTACCTATAGCTCTCGACACACTTCACGCGGCCGTACTTCAGCCACTTTACGGCCACGTGACGTAATAAACTATTTTTTCAATATTTATTTTTTGCCTTTAAACAATGTGTTTTTCAACTAGTAACTTTATGATTTTTAATCCGTAATAAAATTCTAAAAGAAATCTAAATATTAACAGAATTGCCAGTAGAATATGTAAGCGTTTTTTTTTATCAAACGTGAAAAAAATATGATTCTTTGTTTATATAATAATTCATGAAATTTTAATTCAAGTAGGCTGGATTGCAAGATAATTACTTAGTTTTTTTTAAAAGCTCGTACGATTGAAGTCTCGGTCACTTCTAGCTCAAATATTGAGTTTTTCAGTTTAAGGATGATTTTCCTTTTTAAAAAATAATGGTTAATGACAAGAAAAAACACACACTTTTAGTAACTCGTATTTATTGCACTCATCGAAGTGGTTTTCTTTTTTTTCTTTAATGATTATACAATGTACATTGATTTGATTTTACGCTGAAGAAATATAATCTTACATTATTTTTTAAGTGTTAAACATACCTTTTTTCTCTCTCTTTTTATTATTGTTGTCGTTTACTACGTATACGTACGTGACTAGATCATATAAAAAAGAAAAATTTTAGTTTCGATTCAAGTTTGGACAATATTTTTATTTCCAATTATCATATAAATGACGAATACTGGTGACAAATGTACATCAAATCGAAACACGTGAGGATATTAAATTTTGTGTTTGAATTAGTTTTTTTTCCGGTATACTCTCTGTATAAACTTTTGTAACTGTTGAATATCATCGAATACATGAAATACATTCGTATTGACTATGTAAACTGTCTTTCTTTTATTAGATGAAAATTTGATGACAATATCTTAAAAGACGAAATAGTGAAAAATGCCGTTAAACGGCTTAGCAAAGATGACCACAATACTTTAACGCAGGTGAGACGTTCATTCTTTCTATATTTATTTAATTAATCGTATTTTGTATTTTTTAATATTGCAGTGACTCTAAATTTATCTATTTTCTTCGTCATCGTAGAGTTTGTAAGATTCTATGACGATGACGAACAGTCTGAGTTTTTATAATCGTTAAAATTTAATATTTTTATCAAGTATTAGTAATTTTTAAACACATTTTNAATAATAATAAATCTGTTTTTTCTATTTTTTCGCAAATGGCACTCAATCGCTTTCCACGCGTATGCGAATTGATTTAAGACATAATTAACAAGTACCAGAGTGTACGCGGCTATAAAATTTTGAAGCGATTTTTACTCTGTAAAAGTAAATTATATTATTTTTTTTTAAATAAAAAATCTGCATAAATATCCAATTAACAACATTTTCATCAAGCTTTACACGAAATAAGAGTCAATAGACGAAAGCTTCTTTAATTCGACACTTGGACAATATTAAAAATTTACTCGACAACGAACAAACAGTGAGTAAGTGCGTTCGTGTGCATCCAATCAAGAGATAAATATTGCATTATAAAAGTTACAGTAGTTGTTTCGATCGGTTGATAAAATATTTTGGTGTTTTTAAAAATGATGAACAAGAATACAATATATATATATACTTATAATCACGCCAAACAATGAAACACGTGTCGCAAATCATCGCAAATTTCCTAGATAACATTTGCAACAAATACCTAAAATATTCGTGAATTTTCATAAAAACTGTTTTGCTTAGGAGTAGATAAAATTTCAATAGACGATGAATTTCAAATTTAAAATGCAATAACCTCGATCGACTACACTCGAAACGACCTTGTATGGATATATGACACAAAGTTAATCGCAAACTAAAGTGGTTATCATCATAAAATGTTTACCGTAAAAAATATTTCGTAGTGCGTTTCTTTTCAATGCGTGGATCAAAACCAAGCAGTGCTCGATTGCCCTTAAAGAGCAGTAAAAAATAATTGTACGATAGTACGAACATTACTTAGTAATTTCAATTCATGAAACAGTCGTTTCCTCTAACTTTGTGCATGTGCATATATGTTATATTGTATGGACCGGGTACGGTCGATTATACGTGGTTCATTACTGCAAATTCCTTTATTTTTTATTATCCTGCTCAGCTACAAAACTCGATAAATAGGTACTGAGAGCTAAAATCTACATGTGTGAGTATCGTAATTTTTTTTCGTTCAAATATCCTTACCGTCTACATTTTTGCTATTTATTATGCTCAAATTGCGTTATTTACATACGCTTATGGTCGCAACTCTGAAATTATGTGTTTACGGTTACAGAGTTAATTGCCAAATGTTTCATACTTTGTTTCAGTTACTTTTAGGAGATAGAATAAAAATAAAGAGTACACTAATTTTCGACTATTTTTTTTTTTTATTTTTTAAAAATTTTTTTTATCATGGTAGAATGGTTCAACCTCAAAATACGACTCATATAAAAATTAGTTGCGTAGTTCTGTGAAAATAATTAGTATATTTTTTTTTTTTATTTCAAACGTTTAATGGTGCAATCTTCAAAAATATGTATATTCTTATTTGATTGATCCATGGTGCGTAAAAATTAAATTTCTTTTTATAGTAAAAGAACAATAAAAATCAAACAGTGTAACAGATACAAAACGAAAATTTAATTCAGTGGATTCCGATATGTATAAGGTAATAAATAAGTAATTTATAAAAGTTAATCATACATGATAATTCGCTGGCTAATTTTCAAAAAGAAACGAGTAAAATTGTCACCACAATAAAACGCTGTGTAATTTTCAAGCACTAAATTATGTTTCTTTTTACTGATTACGTGACGCATATTATTCTCATCAATAATATAAAATCAAAATAAAAATTACGATATGCATCACGTAACTAAATTGATAACCCTATATGGATCCATATGTAAGATATAAAAAGATTCGTTTGAATCTTTAAGACGATTCGTAGTATTGTACTTTTAAAATTGTCTGAGATTTGTGTTTGGTTAAAACAGGTTGATGTAATAATGTGAGCTATGTCACAAGAAAATAAATGTGTTCAATGATTGTTTGAAAATATTAAATTTATGTTTGGTAAGGGCAACAAGACAATATTTGTCATTCAAACTAAACTTTGCACAAAGTGTATTTTCACACGAGTAGACGTAATAAGCTGGTGTCGTGTTTAATTTTTATACATGTAAGCAACAATCAAATGAATTTTCCAGTTTAATAGATTTCATTCATTCAGATCCTAAAAAATATATGTATCTTTAGTTTTATAAAATATTATAATGTAAATCTCTACGAAAAAGGAACGATACTTGAAAAACGAATTGTTACAGTGCTTGGCAAATCAATTCCTTTAAAATTTAGTACAAACGTAAATACTTTAAATCTATGCAGCAGGTTGTCCAAAACCGTTTAACAAGCAATAAAAATTATCGTTTCATTAGCGTTTATTCTCACGATTGCAGTTCTCAAAGACCTACAAGTAAAGGCAGCATTTTTTTCATTAAAATCCATCAATATGCGTACATACTTAAATAAATTAACAAGTAAAATATTTTACAAAGATAAAACTATGTTTTCTCATTGTAAAAAAAAATAGTGTTTTAACTACGCAATAACACACGGGAACAAAATTTTTCTCGCTATTATATGGGGTACATCATTTATCATTTATCATTTTTTTTTTTTTTTTTTTTTTATTATGCAAACATTTCGTCTTAAACATGTTTTTTTTTTTTAAATTTTCTTTTCACATCATCATAACGTCTCTAGTAAAAACTAACACAGACTTTCGTCGATAAAATACTAAACACATTTAAATCGATAACAAATACAATGTACAATCCAAGAATTTAAAGCAACTCGAAAAAGAATAAGAGTAAAAATTCATTTTACATACCTTAAATTTTACTTAAAACTAAAAACAATATGTACACGTGTAAGATATTCGTGTGTAAGTGTCGTAAAGTAAAAAAAAAAAAAAAAGTACTGATGTCTAATAATCCGCAATGTATAATAACACTACGAGGTTCAAATAGTAATAATAATAATAATAATAATAAATCTGTTTTTTCTATTTTTTCGCAAATGGCACTCAATCGCTTTCCACGCGTATGCGAATTGATTTAAGACATAATTAACAAGTACCAGAGTGTACGCGGCTATAAAATTTTGAAGCGATTTTTACTCTGTAAAAGTAAATTATATTATTTTTTTTTAAATAAAAAATCTGCATAAATATCCAATTAACAACATTTTCATCAAGCTTTACACGAAATAAGAGTCAATAGACGAAAGCTTCTTTAATTCGACACTTGGACAATATTAAAAATTTACTCGACAACGAACAAACAGTGAGTAAGTGCGTTCGTGTGCATCCAATCAAGAGATAAATATTGCATTATAAAAGTTACAGTAGTTGTTTCGATCGGTTGATAAAATATTTTGGTGTTTTTAAAAATGATGAACAAGAATACAATATATATATATACTTATAATCACGCCAAACAATGAAACACGTGTCGCAAATCATCGCAAATTTCCTAGATAACATTTGCAACAAATACCTAAAATATTCGTGAATTTTCATAAAAACTGTTTTGCTTAGGAGTAGATAAAATTTCAATAGACGATGAATTTCAAATTTAAAATGCAATAACCTCGATCGACTACACTCGAAACGACCTTGTATGGATATATGACACAAGGTCCGAAACACGGGCTGATGCTTGTCGATCCCGACGTATAACGAGCCTCGAAAAAACTAACTGTAGCCAAACTGGACCTTGCGACACTGGCACAGCCACTTGATGATCCTCGCGTTCCTCTCGACGATACTCGGCTGCTGGTCCGAGCCGCCCCTCTGGAGGCACTCGTCGTTGGCCGTCTGCCAAGGTGGGGGCTGCGCGCTGCCGGCCGGCTGTATCGTCGGCGAGCTCCCGGCGGCCCACGACGACGAGTAGAGGCCCAGCGCCGAGTCGACCGAGCTCACGCTGTCGAAGAACACCGGGGAGCTGCTCTTGGAGGAGGGCTCGGTTATGTGGTGGTGGTAATTGTCGGGATCCAGGCCCAACCTGTCGAAGAACGACTCGAGCTGGGACATGGAGCGCGGGCCCCGGGTACTGCCTCCGCGGCTCAACGAGGAGGAGCCCTGCGTGCCGTTGCCACCACGACCGGAACTCGAGCTCCCGATGCCGCTGCTGCTCGTCACGCAGCCAACGCCCGCACCGCCGATCACCCCACCGACGCTGTCACCCGCGACTCGGTTGCCGCCGCTGTTGACGCTCGGGTGGCTCGACTCGTGGCGCCAATACCGGTCGCTTATGTCAGACTTGGAGCGCAAGATCGGCCGGCCCCTGCCCTCCTTCCACCCGTCCGAGAATCTATTGGGCAGATTTACACAAACGTGGTGATTACGCGTGCGTGGGATACAAGTTGTACACGATGAATTTGACAGCTTATAATTTGACGCAGGTACCTCGAGTTGCAGGTGGGACTGTAGTCGGTCTGGCTGTTGCTGCTGTCGGTGTCGGGGCTGTAGTGCCTGACGATGGCAGGTGGGGTAGCGCTGTTGTAGCTCCTCCTCGAGCGGTCCCTGTCGGTCGAGTGCTGGGTCGAGGCGCCGCTGTCCCTCCGCGCGTGGCTCCAACAGTCCTGCGTAGATTTGCTTTTTAGAGTCACGTGTGTCTGGGTTATCACCAATAAATGCCGATTTTATTTAAAATCGGAGCGTGGTCTCCACTACTTTTTATCATGCATGGGTGTCTTTACATGCGTGTACATGGTGTACCTGCATCCATAACATTTTAACTGAGAAAAAAAAAAATGATAAAAATGACTCACATAGAAAAGTAATCACAAATCTATCCCTGTCTCTCCTCCTACCATATATACATACAACGTAATTTGGAAAAACCTTTCTCCCTCGCAAAACTTCTCACCTTCCCCGCCAGCAGAGAGAGAAATCTTATCGAAACTCATATATTCGGAGCGAGTACGTGATGTGGTATGCAGATTAATGTGTAAGATTATGGTACGTCAGCGTGGAAAAGTGAAAAAAAAAAGGTGTACATATACCTGTATCCTCGGAGGTGGTTCGCTCCTGTGGGTGCAGTGCCCGGAGGACCCGCCCGAGTCACGAGCCGTCGCCCCGTGGCTGAGCTTGCTCGAGCCCGAGGACTTTTGCGTGCGGCCGCCCGACGAGAGGACGCTGCTCGCGTCACCGCCACCCGAACCCATCGAGCGCCTTATGTGCCTCGAGCTGAAAATGAAAAACAACAATCACCCCATCATCATCATCATCATTGTATATAGTACCATTGGGTTGTTTGGGTTTCAAGTTTACAATTGAAAACTTTTGGGCCCGGGGTCTCTCAGGGTGTTGTTATTCTCAAACAGCGCAGCGCAATAAATACACACAATGTATTTGTCAGCGCGAGAGTAGAAGCACTCGAACGAGATATTATAATATATTACAAGGGGACGCGTAAGCCGTAGGGGCCAAGGTGGTTTTGGGTTTTATCTACCGCGATCCCGTGATTTATCCACCTGTTTGTACGGCGCGCTTTTTTTTTTTTTTTTTTCTCTCATTGTTATCATCGTTGTCTTTGGGCACCAGTTGTCGGGCTATGGGTTTTTTTTTTTTTTTTTTTTTTTTTTCAAGGGGAGACAAAGAAGGGATATATACCTTTCCAAAGTCACCCGGAGGGTCACAGAGACATATTATAACGGATGTTGTTGCCAGGGAGTACGAAATATCTTGTCGTCGCGACGTATATATATATAATACACATACCTGCGATAGCACACAGAGTCGCGGTTGAAGCTGCGATCCGAGTAGTCGGAGCCGGTCTCGCAGTCGGGACAGCCCTGGCCGGTGGGCTGGGGTTTCCTCGCCGACGGGGACTTGGTCGAGGCCCTCGGCGACAGGGAGGCCCGCCGTCTCGTGCTGCTGTGGTGAAGATCAGGTAGGCTCTTGTGGGCGGCCGCGGCTTCGTGGCTCGGGGCCGTCGTCCCGTGACCGGCGGACGACCGGCCGCTACCCGACCTCCCGATCCGGCTGCCGAACTTGAACCGGATCTCCCCGGCCGGGCTCCCCCACTGCTTTATTTCATTGTTTTATTAAACATTAATTACAAATACACGCCTCTCTCCCCTCTATCACATTTATAGGTACACCTAGCCTATGTGTCCATATAGCGTTGGCACAATAAGTATAAATATATAGATGTGCATGTAATATAATACGTATACAAAGTTGTTGAATCCCGACAAGTGCCTCAAGTGCGGTATATATCGCAATGTATAGGTACTTATTTGTGAACTCGCTCGAAGAAAAATAAGCTAACAAGCGTATACAAACAAAAAGTCATGTGTATATATACCTATGCACTTATTCTCCATCAGGTGCATTGTATTGTGTGGAGTCGGGGACGTGCAGGTATCGGTCTAGGTCGCAGTGCGGATTCAATAGGTAAAGCATATCGTATAAAATACGTGCTCTTGTAACGCGCGCAGTGGCCTTGAAAAACTTTGTCTCCGGTTTAGCAATTTATATACACCTATATATACATAGATTTACACACCCAACGCGTATGCAAAGAAAAAAAAAGTTTGTATAGCAATGCTCCTCCTTGTATAGCGTATGATAAGGATTAAAAGAGTGGAGAGAAAGCCCGCCGTTATATATATATATATTACTCGAGTCGGGAGAGTTGCAATGACGCGTTATTATTATTCCCGGTGTGTAAGCATATGAGCTTAATTTATATAGCGAGTACATTATACATCCCCAACATATAATAACGGCCGAGCGACGCGCTTGATTTGCTCTCGAGCACTCCTGTCGATATCATAATATATACACATACGCGAAAAGCAAGTGCGAGTATACGGCTATTGGACAAATGGAAAGTCGGCAATTTGTGCAATGTAAAACCACCTCATCCGTAATGTACACACACGTGTATAGGTACAGGCATACGACGACGAGTACCGAAAGTCGTTTTTTAAATAATTGAGCGCAATTACTTTTATCCGTTGACATTGATCGGGAATTAAATTTTTGTTAAAAAACAAAAACCAACGATGGGAAACATTTGCCGATTCTCTCGATACCTATATATATATATTATACTCGTGAAATCAATAATAGTCGACGCCGCACTCGAGATTCTATAATTAATTACAATTACCATGAAATTTTCTCGATATCCCCGCTATATGTATGTATAAAAATTTAAATACATGTTAAACTTATAAGTATACGCGAGTAAAAACACCTATACTCGCATAGCGCTCCGTGCAGTGAGTTTCAGTACATTTGTACACATGACATTGTCGCGTTAACCGCACCATCAAATTGACATGACGAAAAAACTTGCACCTGGAGCGAGTCACCGTACATATACACAGGGTATACCTGTATTATGTGTACTTTTAGGCTGCACGTTTGACGCGCGCTCAACAGATTTTCATCGGCGCGCAAAAGTTCGCGACCCTCTTCCCTGACAAAGGCGTGCACGTATACATGTATAAGTACGCTCTTAAATTAATTTTCAATGTCGGTAGAAAAGATTTACGTGTATATATATCTGTACCGCTACCGGCCGTGGCCTCGCCAGCTATACATGTACGGAGAGACGATGGCCGAGAGCAAACGTGTAATGTGATATATGACACGCGAGAACAATATCACCTGCCGATACACGATATCGTATTACCCTCCTCCAGCCTTAGCGTCACGAATGGAGGTATATATACATATTATATGTAGAGGACCTGATGCAGAGTGCGCTCATTTGCGTCATGTACGGCGCGGCTGTTTGACTATCGTGCAGGAATGCCGGTAGCTTAGTCGCTATATATGCACAAGTATAGGAGGAGGTGTATATTTTTACACGCGCACTATATTAGAAGAGGACAAAACCACTAACAAAGAGATGGAGGTGCTTCCGTTGTATTTCACGATCCATCGCTGTTACAGGAAGAAATCGGGGGAATCCCCCACCCTGTAATCGCATGTAATAACTTATAAACTGTAAATTCGAAGATACACACAAGTGTGCATCTGAATGAAAAAAAAAAAAAAAAAAAAAAAAAAGTAGCTATACTTGATTCAGCCGAACTTTGAGACGACAAAGTTGAACGACGTGGAATAACGTGATTACGTATAGGTATAGGTAAATAATGTGTACTACGCCGACCTTAATTAGCATCAAGGGATAATAATGTATATACAGTGGCTGTTTGTCCATGCAATCTCCCCCGGGACTAATTACACGCGCATTACAAGCACAAACCACATGTATAGACACACACGGTTTTTCCACCACGTTACATTATACACATGTATATGTATATCATTAATCAACGCACCGAAACGTATAGGTATGTACATATGTATAATAGAGAGAGAGGCCTCACCGAGCGATCCTCGTCCCTGCATCCAGGTGATAAGCTACCGCCGGGCGAGTACCTCTTGTCCGAGTCGTGTAATCTGTTGGTGTGGATCGGGGTGGCGTACTCGGGCGGGGCCGGTGGCACCTCGGCGAAGAAGACGTTGCCATCGTTGGCGGTGTCGGTGTTGAGGAGCCGGCGTAGCTTTGCCTGCAGCTGTTCCGAGCTGTTGTTGGACGCAGGGTTGTTGGCGCCTGGGCCGAGGCCCGAGGTGTTGGACGGGGCCGACGGTCCCGAAAGTGAGCGCCTCTGGGGCAGCGGGACCAGCCGTGGACTCTTTGGTGGTAGTGCTGTTTTTGGACGGTTTTCGTCAATATCTCAATTGAAAGATGATTGGGGATTTGTACAAATAAACGTTGGCCAATTACGAACAATCACCCGATACGAGAGAGCAAACGAGTACGGTGTCAGGCTGATGTTTAACGGCTATATCGGCCCTATTGGTGTTTCTTTCTTTTTTTTTTTTTTTTTTTTCACGCGTTACCATGAAACATTATACAGACGATGGAAATTGTTAATAACGATACGTTTTTTCCGATTCGAAGATCATCCTTGCATCATATTTTGACAATTCCGTTGAATCATCCAGAACTGTACCTACATAATAATATACACTTGAGGGTGGCTATATCTATATATACGACGGGGGGGGGGGGCACATTGTGCGTCAATCGTCTTGTCTATTAATTTTTTCATCGGGACGAAAATCGAGATAGGGTCTTAGCCTGATGGTAAAAAGCATCACCCGTATCGCATATTATTCGGATGATGGGGGAGAGAAAAAAAAAGAATCCAAAAGGGAGGAAGGAAAGGGACACCCGTATGATTATATACGAGATGTATAATATATGGTTGCAGGGGTCAATGATTGGTATATTATACAGAGCACACTCACGTCTGTCGTTGTTGTCGTGGCAGGCGGTCCAGCAGCAGGACTGTTGTTGCTGAGCAGGATTGCACGGCTGCGCCGAGCCCGGGGTCGTGCACTTGCGCAACAACCGAGGCGGAGCCGTCAGTTGGGATACCTGCAGGTGGCCGCTGTTCTTGAGCTCCTGCTTCCGGTCCAGCACGGTTTCGCTCTTCACGTAAAACGCCTTCGACTCCTGCAGCAGCTCGACAGCGCTCTTCCGCTTACCTGCAACCCCCCGACAAACGAGTTTTCTCAATTAATTGTTACCGTTTTTTCATGCTATATATATGTATACATTGTTGAGCGCGCGGTGGCTCAGTCGGCTATAGCCTATAGGTCGTGGATTGGGACGCGGGGGAGCCCGTGGTTCGATTCCCGGCCATAGTGCGACTTTTTCGGGCAAGTACCTCTGTGCTTTTTCACCACGCAATGCTCCTCGAGGAGGGTTTAGGCGACGACCTCCTCGCAGCATAATTGCCTAATTTCCCCCTACCCCCTCCCAGCAATGGGAGGCCTCCCTCATCCCTCTTCCCTTCCTTCTCCAAAGTGCTAAGTGCCCCCTCAGTAGTGCCCTTATTAAAGGAGCCGAACGTAGAGCACTATAATATATAAAAAAAAAAATATTTATACATTGTTACGTTATTGCTTATACAATTGCTTATGCATGCTGATCATGTAACAATGTGCTCCCAATCAAGAGGAAAAAAAAACAAAACAAGAGAGACCACCTCCATCCCCGTCCCCCATGTAATCAACCTCCACCCACTATATGCACGCATATATAAATAAATTATACCGATATGATATATAAGTATTAATTATAATTGTTTTAGCGCAGTGTTGGTTTGTCCGAAAAGTCGCCTAAATGAGCTGTACTTTACGATTATTGAGTAACAGCCAGCGTACGCGTGGTGTGCATGTTACGTCTCACTCATCGCAGACTTGTTACATAATATGCATGTATCCTATATACATATAAGCTGCGGCGCACAGCATCAGCAGCAGAGCAACGGAACCAAGATGTAAACTGCGTGTGCACGCAACGCTCGATGGGCTCTTGGGATTTTTATAACTACATTGTGTATAGGTATACAGGTACTCGAGAGAAGAAAAGAGGATGTATAATTTCTCGGCGCGCGGAAAAGAATTGCTCGGAGGATGAGCGGTGTAACATCTGTTTTGCGGCGCGGTGTGCGTTATCTCTATGCGCAGAGGCGCGAGATTGATCATTTTTGTTCTCTTATCCGCTGCTCGGCTGCGCGGTGTTTTCGTGTACAAGTCGTGAGTGTACCGTCTGAAAAGGTGGGCAGGCTTTTTTCCCCTACGGAGATGAGGAAGCGCGTAAATTGGATCCTGCTTTTCTCCACATTCAACAAAGATTACTTATTTTAAAAAATTGATGATTTTTTGATTTTTTTTTTTTTTTTACATTTGGGCGCTTGGAACAAAAAGAAAAGATTAACGGGGTGGTTTGGAAAATCGATTGCCGATCCTGTGTTGTATCGATGTGCCTCGAGGCGAATTTCACACCGATATACTATTGTTATCGTTCATACCCGTGTCCTTGTTTTATTTTTCGCCTCCGCACGTCGCGTGGGCTCGGTAATAAAAAAAAAAAAAAAAGTGACATGAAGGTACAGACGTGCCGAAATCTTGATCGAAGCGTCGTGCAGTGCGGCTTTGGCCATCCAGCCGCAGACACGCGCATCCCTCTTTCTTCTCTGCATACGTTTATTTCTTCCAATTAACCCTTGGAGTCTCGGTTCGGGGTTGTCATATGTATATATACACGTGCACGCGACCACTGTGGCGCACACCAAAGTTACGCTAACGACCGCTTCGCGCGCGTGTGTTTACCGAGCGTGTGGTTGCANCGAGAGGCATGTGGTACGTTATAGGTGCGTCTCCGCGGAATATACATATATATATGTAGGTAATCGGAACTGTGACAGGTGTTCGCACGCTCTTGACATTTACAATCGAACAGACTACAATAGCGAGAAACTATAAGCACATTTTAAGACAGCCACCGGCCGACGAAAGCGATCGATGATCAATGTATTCTGATTTATGAAATGTGAGGATCATCTCCTGGGTACGTTTGATCACTCGGCGCCCTCGAGGGTATTTTCTACTTGGCTTCAATCGAGGAAACAATTTTTTTTTTTTCACATGCAAACGAGTAAGGAGACATAGGACGAATAAATACAGACTGATGCATACAGAAAAAATGTGAAAGGGAATTTCTGTGTCTACAACACCTCAAACGACCCAATGAAATCGGTAAATTACATTTAAAACTAAAAGTGACACAATTACGAATATAGATACGAGTTTGAGTAATTATTATCGATTATTCCAATATAGTCTGTAAAACCCGAAGACAAACGGGTACAAGATGGGACGGACGTAAACGTATGATCCAAAGAAAGTCTCGCAGGTGTGTAGCAGGGGTGGCACAATTACCGGACGTGCGTCCAATCGTCTCCTTCGTAAATACTCATTAGACGCAACGCGCCGTCACGGGACCGGAAATTGCGATCTTCTCCGCCAAGCGACTCTCTTTTCCTCCATAAACTCAAGGCACACCCCATGTGTTGGTATATATATGCTTTTTACCTGCACCGCGGTTCCCTCGGAATGAAAATATTTTTTGGACCTTGTCGTGTACACGTGCCTCTTTTGCACGTGTTACGGATACGTTAGAGGACGAAATGGGTAGTATACGTAATAACGTTTGATCTAATCAAGGCTACGGTGTTTCAATGGTTTTTGGAGAAAAAAAAAAAAACAATCTTTTCCCAGCAGTATTTCAGAGACGTATATATATATATCATTTGACAAAGACAGTGAGATGTGAAAAAAAAAATCGAAAGTCGTACTCCCACGTAACACTTTCACCGCACTTGCACTTTCTCGCCAATTGCTTTTTTCGTTCCGAAAAAAAAAGCATCGGACCCCCAAACTTAACAAAACTGGACTCACCCTCGTATGTATTGAAACAACTGGAAAAGCACCTCAAGTTTGGTACCTTTCGGGAACCCAAGCAAAAAATCGATGTACGTCCCCCGACGATTTTGAACAAGAAGAGCGAAGCGCGATTCGCATTTCAAAGGGGAAGAAGAAAATTCTCGCCAAATGAAAAGGAGGAGTGTACACCTATATACATATACTAGCCGGACCCTGAAAAATCACGCTCTCGTCGCAAGAGCTTCCATACATACCTTGAAATTTTCTGACGAGCAGGGGGCGCTCGACTCACCTTAGCTCCCCCATGCAATTCCAAGACCCGTAAGAATTACTTCCGACTGAAAAATCTCGATCTCGCGATGCATGATCCGTCGACTCGGGGTGACCAAGCGGTGACTCCGATGGCTCGATTTTCCCGGGGAAAAAAAAGAAAAAAAAAAAAAAAAAGGACACGCGCGCGGATTGAGTTTTCCGTGCGTCTTCCCTGCAGGCGCGCGCTGTATTCGTTATTGCTCCCGACGTGCACGGGATCGAACGAGCGCAAACACAAGGGGGAGTTAATCAGCCGAAACTGGGTCGGAGTCGCGCTATCCGGGCCCCAAGCCAGAGCTCAAGGACTCAAGGGGAAAAAAAAAAAATAGATTTTACACCCTTTGCCGTGGAAACGAAAGGAAATACGTCGCATTGTCGACTGATCAGCTACTTCGCGTGGGCTTTTATTGGATCCCGAGGAATTTGTCGCTCTTCCGAGAAATATTGCCCTTCTCACTCTCTCTCTCTCTCTCTTTAAATTTTATTTCTTTTTTTTACATGATGCGCTACTATAATTTGGGCGCCGCTTTAGCCCCAAATATTAATTATGTAAACAATCACATTGTAACCTTTTGTACTCTGCTCAGGCTATACAGGAACTCGAGTATGTCTCGCTGAGTCCTTAGCCTCTTTAAATAAAAATTCAAATTCAAATTCTCTCTCTCTTTTTTTTAACGATACCCTAATGAAATCACGTACGCGCGATTGAAGCGTTTCGATGCGCGTAGAAATTTTTTACTCGTCAAATTAGGGTGTATAAAAAGTGTATCGGGTTACTAATTAAATCGAAAGCGAGAGCCGTGAACGGATACATGTGTTGAACGCACATGTGAATACGCATGGAAAAGAAAGAAAAAATAATCCTCAAAACTCAACGGAACGTGCACGCCAGCCACGATCCTTTTTTCTGTTCATCCCGTGCTTAACGAAGCAACGCGATCGCTTCGATCGTTCGTGCATGTAGTGCAAATAGCGGGAGATGTCTTGGAAGGATTTCTTCTTTTTTTCTTCATTCAGCGGCAAAAACGTGAAATGTATACAAGTATATAATGTGTACGGGAGGGTATACATGTTGATGGTTGCTCGCAGCTGCTGTGTATTTCTTTATACTTTTCGGCGTGTGACGAAATTTGGGACGAGGGACGAGTAAAGTGTGTTTGCACTACGAGTCGGGGGAGATGAGAGCTCTCGTTATTTATTTGCGTGTCTTGAGTTTGATGTTGTTTTTACGTTGGCTCCTCTCAGCAGGGGCGTCAAACCTTTGCCTTTGGCCCTGAATATATAGAAGGCTTTTGTTTCATTTTTTATTTTTTCAAAGTAAGATTTATCCCAAGGGTTTGAGAGTTATAGGTAGGACGTGGTACAATTTTTTTCAAAAATATGCACAGCACTTTCAAGAAAAATGAGAGCAATAAAAATTACATATTTATTCATATAAAAAAAAAAAATTACAGTGTAATTACGATGTTACGATATACTTATAATATTGATTTGAAAAAAAACCTCTCACGCTCCGTAGCGTGACGCGTGTAATACCGTAAGGGGATTAATATACGTAATCTACCGATAACTTTGAGGGCAAACGAAGGTGCGCTACTTATTTTCGTTGTAAACAATACGCGTTTTAATTGCCCATTCGTTACGAACGAGCGAATTACATTTAACGGAAAATCCTTCGCATGTGCATTAACAAGTCGACCGTTACCTCGATAATTTTTTTTTTTTTTTCACGCCCAACATCTGTTGTTCTTCCCTCCCCTTCGTCGCTATAATTATACACTCAACGCAATCAGTTGCCCCCCTTGGATTCCCTAGTTGTGTGTACGTCGGTTATTATGCATAAAATACAACATGTGCCTACCCACGGGAATGATAAAAAATTACCTGCTATTTCCTGCAACGGAAAGGAATATATTCGTGACGCTTTGAGCGCGAAGAGAATTTGATGAAAGTGCCATTCGTTGCGATTCGCGGAGGCAGTGTGTTTTACGTGATGGAAAAAAAAAAACTTTCTGACGTCATTGAATTCATAGCGTGTCGAAATCCACTGTCGCGAAAAAAAGGAAAATTCAATCGGCGTGACCTAATAAAAAATAAGCGAATAGGGTCGCGAAGTGAAAAAAAAAAAAAAAAAGTTAACATCAGCAGCCGAGGGGCACAGGGGTTGTGCATAAAAAGGGTGCTGTTACTGAAAATTCCCGCTCGAGAAAAAAAAAAAAAAAAACCTGCTCCTCCCGGCCCCGAAAATCACCGCCCTGTTGCCGAAGGCAGGGAGCTTAAGTCTCTTCTTCTTACTCGCCTTCTCGACCCAGATTTTCACGAATATCTTGCCCTTTTGCAACAACTAGGTGGGCTGTACCTACACACGTTTCTCTTTTCAAACTTTCTATGTGTACCTCGGCTCTTGACAGTATGCCGATGCTTCGTACACCAAACGCCTTTTTTTTTTCTTCCGTGTACAATATACATATACGTACTTTTTCAAATACAATCACTCGTTTCGATGAGGCTCGTGAATGAAAAAAAGAATCCGTCTATTCTTCGACGAACGTTCTGCGACGTGTTTTCCTCTCACTAGACAATTTTGAAGTATCTCTATATGCACCACCTCACGTGTCAATGGTCGTTTATCTCTACTCTATATTTTTATACTAACGAATAACTCAAACAGCTATGTATACAAATCCGTAAAATTTAACGTTTTTTTTTGTTTTTTTTCACATACACGAACTAACGGTTTTTTGTAATTTTTAAAATTTTCCATTCACAAGATAGTAATCGAGGTATGATAAATAATACTAAGGGAGTCGAGAAACAACAGGGTCACAATGGCTTTAAGATGTGATAACGGAGTGATTGGCCGTATAATATGCAGATACGCTGGTGCGTCTTTCGAGTTAGAAAAGATTGTCACGCGCCTTGGTATTTTTTCCGAGACGAGCCAAATCAGTAGCACAGCTCAGGTGATGCTTATAAGTAGGCCGCTCCGAGGCTTTTGCAAAAATAATATGCACTAAGGTGTACAAGTAAGTACCGCAGTTTTGTCATTTCGTTTTTTTTTTTTTTTTACCTTTTATTTTTCAAAGTGCACCACTTACTTTCGTTTTTTCATGGAAACGTTTCTTGTTGTAAGAAAATGCGCCCACCTCGCTCTTGACAGAATGAAAATTGCTTTCGACGTGCCATTCGGAGTGATTAGCATACTCATTTAGGCAGGGGTTATTTGAAAAAAAATCTCGACGGTTATGCGCGCGAGTGGTGAAAGTGACGCGTATTTATAATATATAAGCGCCCGCCTGAGTACAAGTATATATGTATATATACCTGGTTGACGAAATTAATGATCCTGAAATTCGGAAAGAGAGACAGGTTTTTTTACTGAATTTCTTCAAGGTGGCCACTCTCCCTCCCTCCGAGAGCGCGTTGTTGCGTAATGTATATATATATCATTATACGCCGAGTCAAAGGTATAACATATACAAGGTGTAACGGGGGGTGGGGGTGGGGGGCATCGTTTAATTCGACTGAAGTGAAAATTTCGAAACGACAACGCGAAGAGACCAATACATTTTTTGCTCGAGCCACTGTTGCGTAAGTATATATTATCCTTTGAAACTTCGCGAACACGAAGTAACTGCCTATCCGAGGGTACGGTACCTGGAAAAATCATGGAAAATCTAAATACAACCGGGTAATTTTTCTTCCCCGACCTCAGCGGGGGAAAAGCTCACTTCCAGACGCGCGCACTTCAAAAGCCAGTAGGCAAGAGATATTACGTCGTCCGCGTGGGTGTATATTATTCTTACCCTTCGCTGCCAGGAGGAGGATGATGAGCAATACGGGAGGGAGGGGGGAAAGGTTTGTTTTATATATATATATAAAAGGAAAGAGGAGGAAGAATTACGTCCCCTCTCGCGGCGCGCGAGCGTTTCAATGGGCTTATCGCGAGGCGCGCCCGGGGAGAGAGATAGTAAAAACACACACACTCGAGCCACGAGAGAGGGACTCCTGTCTCGGCGCAAGCTCTATTTTAACAGCTGCTTTAATTATCACGCTGTACCTATATATATACACCTCCCGGCACTAGCTAGGCGTGTGTATACGTATACATTTCCATACTCCAGCTCGCACTCGCATCTCCTTCTATACGCGCCCTCGCCTCTTACTCTGCTATCTCTCTCTCGCTCTCGTGGGTCTATATTTACGACTATACCCTCGCGCGCGTCGTCAACTTCATCTCTCTTAACTTGACTTGTTTTCCGAGCTTCTGCTTCGTTTCCTATTTTCTTTTCAAGCGTTTAGACGCGTATCACCCCCCCCCCCTGTCCTCGGTCTCTATTTTAAGTATGATTATACGCACGGGTATCGTTTACATTTCGTCAGAGACCACGAGATACGGAAAATCACTTGAACCGAGCTAGTATAGTATAAGTCTTGGTTTTTTTTTTTTTTTTTTTTTTTTTCTTTCACATCGCAACGAATAAATAAGCGACAATTCCCATCCATAAGTATTTATTTTCATCCTATAGGTTTCGGGCACATTTACTACCCCCAGTGCCCTCGGACTCATAAACTACTGCCAAAAACACGTTTCCCCTTCATCGCTATTGTAGAGAAAAGCCAAGATTTTATTTTACAAGTAAGTACACCGCGGTGATAAAGAATTCCGTGTCTCTGCAGCGGTTTGAGGGGGACGAGTGAAGTACACAACCCGTGCTCGCAAGCATGATTTTATTTCCCGCGCGACCCGCAATTAACGGAGCTGTACAACGTTTTTCGTAGTGAGTAGAAAAAAAAAAAAAAAAAAATTAATCCTATTTATTTTGTCTTCTCCAAATCATCTGATTTCTCTATATAGCCACCCTGAACGTGCCCATCACATCAAGCAAAAAGTATTAAAAAAAACAACTCACCAACGTGATCAGACGGATGCCTGTGATGATTGCGGACAAAGGCGGCCGGTGGCGGGGGTGTGGGGTGCTGTTGCATCTCCCAGTATCCGCGACTCTGGGCGAAACTCGGATTCGAGCCCAAGATCGGCGCGTACCTCGGCTGCTGCTGCTGCTGCGGGGAGGTTTTGTTGCACGGTAGCCTAGCCATGGCGGTCATCATTTTCACACCGTAGGCATGTGTGTTCGTGCGTACCCTTTGTATGAATTATCCGGAGGATCGGCCCTCAATCGTCGTTACCGCAGCTCCCGGGGAGCCGCGTGGTAATTTGTTGCGTCGGCGCTTCATCATCCCCTCGGCTCGACTCGATGTGCACGGCTGCGCGACCCCTCATTGAAATTTCTTGATACACGCCGCTCTCTCTCTCTCTGCGAACAGACACGGGAAAGAGACTCGGTTGGTTAATCAGTTTACGGGATGAGCTATAAAACAGGATTAGATCGATCTGTCCGAGGGGGATCTGCCGTGGAGGGGGTTTTTTTTATGGGCGCACGCGTGACTTTCATATACCCTGCGTGCGTGTGTCTAATATCTTCGGGCGAGTGTTTGGGTTTTATGCGTCTGGCGATGAAGATGCGCCAACTTTACTACTCAACGGCTGTGCGTTCATTTGTTTTTCCTGAATTAGCTGTTTGTCAATATATTATACACGTGGAAAATGAAAAGCCTATTCGTAGCCAGATAAAATGGATCGATTTGATGGGTGTCTCGGAAATAAAAGTGCAAACAGCAGCTGAAAAAACCCCTTGTAATTATTATTATTATTATTTTTAAAATTAACGGTATACAATGGGTCAACTCGACTCGAGAGTCCGAGGAGGGTCTCCTGTATACCCGTAACGGGGGCAATTGGTCTTTTTGAGCGACTCGATGGAGTTTAATTAGCTATTCGCATGACGGTATATATATATATATACGTGGGGCCTGAGTTGAGACAGCATACGTGTGTACAACGAATTCATTAATCGTGTATCCGTTCCCCACTTACGAGGGGATACATACACATGACTATGGAGGATTTGATAAATTTTGTCTTCCATCGATCCAAGACAATGAAAAATCGATAACTCCCAATTTAGAAAGCCCGACTGCTTTCTCCCTTTTTCTCCGCCCAATTGGTTCGGAGGAAGAAAAAGCACTTTGATTACGCGAGCACAATGAAACGACCACCTCTAATTACTTACGAAAACCTTCTTTTTTTTTTTTTTCTTATGAATGAAGAAAAAACTTTTTCCTGCCATACCTACAGGCTTCATGCATATGTGGACGGAAAAAGAATTTTAATCGACGAATTCGTTAACAGGAAATACGTATACCTACACACTTCCAAAGGCATATATGCTCGGAGATAAGGAATAATTTATTCCAACTTGTATATTTACACAGAATATGTACAGACATGATATTATAGCGAAGATGAAGAACACGAAGAGCTTAGAAATAAATAAGCGGTACATTTTCTCGCGGCCGCTGATTGATCCCCAAAAGTGTTTCCATTATACCCGTGTCCCGCGATAAAACACACGAGAGCCCGTTCACTTGATCCGTAGACCGAAAAAAAAAAAAAAAAGGTTTTGGATAGCTTTTCTTCTTTTGTGTGCATATATACATATATACGTATGCTCAAAGGCGCCTCCAGGAGTTTTGAAATTGGAGGCGGACGTGAATCGATATTTTATAGCATGTATATTTATGAAAGAGGGTAAGAAGAGAGAGAGAGAGGGGGGGGGGAGAAAAACGTGGCGATTTGTATACAAAAGTATGGATTTTTCGGTAAGTGCGGGTTTGGTGTGCATTTCAACTAAAGAGACCGAATTAATAGCTACATAAAAAGGTGTGCTCGACTCGATAGCTAACGTCGGTGAAATAGATCAATCTGTTTATGACACATTAAAATTATTCAGTATACCGTGTAGCTATTGATAATAATTGTACGAGACTTTGTGTTACTCATAAAAAAATTAAGAATAAAAACGACGATGTAAAAGTCGCGCCAAGGAGATGAACAATATGAAGCCTTGGAAGAGAGAGGGTCCTTAAGTTGAGAGTAAATTGTGTGTGCACGCGGACGAAAAAAAGGAAAAAATAAAGTTGAGTCGAGTAGCTGCGGAAAGAAGCTAAACGGTATAGAGTCAAAGTCGACGACGGAGGGAGTACAGCGCAGCGGTAAAGCGTATAGACAGGAGGAGAAAGAAGAAGAAGAAGAGATGGTTTGGAAAAAAAAAAAAAAAAAAAAAAAAAAAATCGGCAGAGCGATAATCATTCTGTGAACAAAATAACGTTATCATTAATTATACGGTTATATATTTATTGCGTAATTAGGAAAAAAAAAAAAAAAGAAAAAGAAAAAAAGATCGAGAGAAAGAGGTCCAGCCAAACTGTATACATAAGCCGCCTGGTGACACAACGAACATGCTATATATACCAGATCAGGCGGCACCAGAGTCCCGATGTATATGTGCTCGATAAACGGTATCCGGCCCATGTGCTTGTATATACACACTATACACGTACCACATATTATAATATATACACTGAAAAATATGTTGGTGGTATGTACTTGCAGGTAAATCTGCGTGACTACAGAATAAATATCTATACTCTCGGAAAAAGTATATGAATACATCAGGTATTGTTCGTCCATCATTCGGTCGAACTTGTACACGTATATACGTATCAAATGGTGGTTATTTTCGTGATGGATATTCAAAGAGAATTTTTCAAAAGATACATTTATACAACCTACCGCAATACAGGTTACACGCAAGAGTATGCAAGACGCGTTTACCTGTTGGCGCGTCGAGGAGCATCGGACGCATGAATTTAAAAACAAGAGGCAGCAATTTATAGCACGTATTTACGCCTCTCTCTCTCTCTTTTGCACGGGGAGTTTTCCCGCGAGCCGAAAAAAAATTAATGTAAAACCCTGTGGGGGGGGGGGACTGACAAAAAAGAAAACATACATTTGTACATTCGATTAAAATTTCGACTTTGGGCGCCATTTCAATTTCTTGCGTCTTGCATCGAGTGGGTGTATTATTTTGTTGCATCCACTTGTGAGGGGCCCCCCTTTGGCTCGATCCACCCTCGAGTGTCCCGTGTATGGACATACGTGTGCGGAGAAGAAAAAGCAACTCGAAAGCCGAGACGCCGGCGACCCGATCGGCACGTGCGTGTAAAAGAATCATCACGCAAGGGGTTGCCTCGTAATCTAGTGATCCGGAACCGGGGTGGGGGAGGATGTGCGATGAACACCCATATCCGTGTGCGGTAGCAAGTGTATAGGCGACGAAAATCTTCCATCGAGTTCTCGCCGAGGCTGCAAGTCTGAAGGGCCCGTGTCCCTTATATACGGCCAAGAAAAAGAAGCGGCAGCTGCCTCCCCCTCGTTTGCATGTACACACATATCGGTGTATGCATATACAGGTATACGGTGTCTTCTACTTCACGGGGTACATATATAACAATACTTACACGAGAGTGTTCGATCGGGTGATCTGCGGGTCGCCTTCTCGGAAGGGGGGCCGTGTATAATTTTCATGTAGATCAATTAATGGAATTCAAACTATTTCGCGCTGTACAACTGCATCTAATCGAATTTTTGTCCCCTGTAGCGTGAATGAAAAAAAAAAAAAAAAAAAAAAAAAAAAAAAAAAAGGAGCGTAGGGTATAGGGATTCCTATTGTCGTCATCAGTCTAATAATAAAGAACAGTGGTCGGCTGGAGAAGAGGAGGGAAAAACTTGTTTGGCGGATTCCAACAATGAAATCATCCACTAGCGCGCCTGACCTACTTTTTTCCTCCTCCTCCTCCGGTTAGGCCCTCTTCTCTATCTTTTTTTTTTTTTTTCTTCGCGCACAAACTTCAGTGAGACTTCCTTCCTTCCGAGGAGGAATGCAAATAAATGTGGGTAAGAAAAGTAGGTAGACGAGTGGGATTGAAAAGGACAGAAAGAACAATCGCCCCTCCACGAGCAAACGAAACGAATCCTCGGCTCTGATGGTTCTCAAAGTACCTACTTCCTTTTTTCCTTTTTTTTTTTTCTTTTCTATTTTTTTATTTAAGAAGGTATATGCTTTATTACGTCATTCATTGTAGCTGATACAACAAGCACGCAGGCGAAATTCTTGCACCGAGAGAGAGCCAATATATATGCACTGAGCGAAAAAACAGAACTAAATGTAAACATTTTTGCACATAGGCGGTCACTGCCTTCGTTGACTTTTCGTCACCCCCATACCATTATACAACGTGTATGTGTACACACAATGTAGGATGACTCCATATCCACCTCCCGTTTAATTAAGCAGTTCACCGAAAATTACTTCGCTGTGAGACTCCATAGAGATGATCCTTGGAAGTCACCTGATTATACCTTATATAGTTACCAACTGAGAGATGTTTATCCTTGCCTGGGTAATCTGGGTAATGGTACAATAACAACGTCGAGACACTGATGTAACGACAACGGACTATGTAATATACACGCAGACAATTACAGACGAACCGATGGCTCAATTCCGTATAAATACTATTGGAGATTTTAATCTTCCCCCCGAGGGATACATAAGAGATTTGTACGGATTAGTAAGAGCCACAAGCATCGTGGACAAGGTATACAAGTGAAGTCTGAGACGTTGAAAATCTTTGCTCATATAATATATGATGGATTCTTTTTTTATCGTTTGCGTATGATCTGACGATTGGAGGACTCGGTCCACATCGTCGGATAAGTTTTAACGAGGACGTCTGGGTATTACGAGTGCCCGGACGTATAGACGAGCCGGAGACAATTGAAGATGTACGTACCTCGCGAATCATTGGGTGCTTCAAGAGGCAAATATATACCGAGAGAAATGAAACGCCGAGATAGCCACCAGTCACAACAAACTGATACATTACAACATCGTATGATTTGGTTATCAATTAACAGATGAGTGCATAAATAAATAAATTGGATAACGTCAATCGAATCGCTAAAATAAAAACAACGATCGATAAGAAGCCAGCACAAAGCTTGAGTGTCGATAAAAGCGCGGGCACTATGTTGCCATGCTATAAGCATATACGATAAACGGTGACTAAAAAAATCATGTAACAAAAGCTTAAATACACATATTTATGTACTAGTATATAATGCGTCTCGCTATAATATATAGTTACAACGAGGAACGAGAAGAAGCTTCGAGCAGACAAGGTGTGGAACAAAATCGGTAACAGCAAAGAACAAAAGGAGACGATGGCGCTATGGCTCTCTGCTTCCCAGCCACGAGCTACAGTGCCAATCTATATCTTTCGCCCGTCATCGGTGGCGTTGTTCATTCAACGCTTTACTCTCGCGTGTATGCGTTTATGATTCCCAGGTGAT